ATCGGTACCGCTTGCCAGGCTCTCGCGACACCGTTTTTCTCCGCGGTACCGATTTTCCTCCTCCAACAAGGAATAAAAATTATAAACAAAACTCCTTCTCCAACAAGAACCCGCACGCGCGGCCCTTTTTATTCTTCGGAGTACCGCGGTACCGCTGAGCCTCCTTGCGGTACCGTTGGGCCTCAAAGAAATAACAAATAATAATTAAATAATCAAAACTCCTCCTCCACCCTTCATTAAACGAGCGGCCTTTTTATTTTCGGTCTGCGGTGTACTGCTTGCCAGGCTCTCGCGGCACCGTTTTTCTCAGCGGTACCGTCTTTCTGTTTCGCGGTACCGTTTTACTCCAAACGACACCGTTTTTTTATCGTGGTATCGAATTAAATGCCGAGACTATTTAATGCGGCATTTAATTCAGCCCAAAAATATTTTAGGTGTAAACAACAGTATCCCATCCCACTATCAACGAATTTAATCATCCATTTTTGCTTCCCTCTCCAGCTTACTTCCTGGCTTCAGCGCCTCCGCTTCATATAACTGTTTCTCTCTCAATTTTTTCATTGTGTTCTCTTTAACTCAATCCTTCTCTGTTCTCTCTCATTTCTTATCTCTTTTAACTCAATCCTCCACTATCGACGATTGGGGTGTTGGAAGATGGATCTGACATCCATCGTTGAAGACTCTATGATGATTTGGGTTACCCAAGCAGGGGCGGCTACAGCATGGCGCTGAGGGCCCGAGAATCCCGAAAGTCACGTATAAATGGGTCGGGATAGTATGTACAAACTACACTGTGTATATAAAATAAAGAGCGTGCAAACTTATGCCATAAGGATTTGTGTTTCCCAGCGGAAGATAAACTGTTTTGTTACCCAAAGGGTTTTGGTTCGATGCAAAAGGGAAGCAATTTACATTCCCTTTGTTAATTGTTTTTTTGGTTAATTACATTAAGTGCAACTTTTATGGTAGTTTATATAAATTACAACTTCTTCCATTTTAATAGTAAGCGGATTACAACTTCTTCCTTTTTTATAGTAAGCGGGTATTAGATACTTTAGTCATTAACTTTGTAATTTTTATTTTCCTTTTTAAGTTGTAGTTTACATCGAATAATTACCGCTTTTTCTTTTGAAATGCATTATTTTTTTCTTTTTCAAATTTATAGTAAATACAATGTGAACAAATATTTTATGTGGTTATATAATAAAAAAAAGTTAGCACTTACGATTTCTACGGTAAAGTATTATGAAATCCGGCCTCCCCGAGCACTAAATCCTAGCTCCGCCCCTGTACCCAAATCTGGCGGCGGCCAGGTTAGTGATGGATTCAATTCCTTTGCGTTTCGTTACATTATTCTTCTTACTTTTTTTGTGTGTATGCTATTTTATAGTTTTCAATTTCTTTTCCTTTCGGTTATCTGGGGCCGAGTTACCGCTGCTGCTGCGGAAACAGAGGAGACCATATGAGGTGAAGCTTAGTTGGGTTGGAAGTTCTTATTTCCAGTGAAAGCCTACCTACGAAGCTGCCACAATGAAGGTCCATTATTGACGATGAAGACGGTCTGGAGCTATATATCCGATTCGGATTCAAGAAATCCCTAACCCAGGCCAGGATCCTTCAGTAAGTCATTTCGATTCTTTTCTTTATTTTACTTTGTTGCGAGTGTATCACTGATTCACTGTTTACCTAATTTTCTCAGATATGGTACTACTTGGGCGACGACGGGAGAATCATTCTATAATAACACAGTGAAAAACTCTCATGGTGAAACACTTCAATCGCTCCTTTCAACAATGAGCTTTGTAAACTGTCATTAATAAATAGGTACTCATGACATGCACTGTGTAGTAGTTTGGTTTTCCAGTGATTGTTACTGCTGATAATCTTTGTTTCTAATGTAAAATTTTAAGTCACTCTTGGTAGTTAGGTACGTTTTGCTTGCAAAGTGACTTCTCTATAGTCAATGCTTTGCACATACTATAACTGTCTTGCTATAACATTGATAGAGTGCTTCTATAATTATCTTCTACACTCACGAAAGCTTATGCATAAAAAAGGTTCTCAACCTTTTCCTCTCTATACTTCAACGAAAATTAGTGAACGAATTCTTATAGAATGCCTTCAAACTAGATTCATATGGTACACATTAAAATTTCTCTATGTTTCTTTACTATGTCACCTCTTGAATAGTACAAGTCCTGACGCGGAGCGCGGGCATGAATACTAGTAAGATATATGTCTCAAGAATCAAGATATTGGGGTTAATTGCATGGTTGGTCATTGAGATAAAAAAACGTACATGTTTGGTCACTCGAAATATTTAAATCCATTTGTGGTCACCAAAATTAATAAAACTGTCCAAATTTGGTCACTCTCCGTTAGTCTCCATTAACTTCTGTTAACACCGTCAGTTTTTTGCTGACGTGTCTAACAGAAGTGCCTAATCAGCCAATTTTAAACCAAAAAGTTGGAAACCCGACCCACCATGTCATTAACCCAACCCAACCGGTGGCCTGACCCGACCCTTCATCTTCTCCCTCTTCTCTCCGACGGCGGCAGAAAGTCCAAGAGCCTTCATTGCTCTCGTCGAAGCAGGAACAATGGCCACAAAGAAGAAGAAGAAACAAGATTAGAGAGAGTATTAAACCCATTAATCCTATCCAGTAAACAAATTTGGAGAAACTACAAGAAAAAGGAGTTGAGCAGTGTAGAGGAAAGCATAGCATTCGTTGATGGCTTGGTCTTGGACGTCATCCCCTGCCTGTAAATCCCTTTCTATCTACTGCCCTACTGGAGAAGAGAGTACCTGCCCAATTAATGCAGAGGCCAAGCTAGATTTTGTTTTGGGTGGCGGAATAAATCCATGGCATGAGCGGTGAATCTTCTCCCGAACTCACCCTCGTATCGCCGCTGCCGCCATCCCTATCCGTCGGGCCAATTCGGAATCCGACATTCTCTTCGCCCGGTCAAGTCGACAATCCAAAAGAGAGGGTTCAGCGGTAGATTTGTCATTAATTTTGTCACCGGCAGGGGCATTATGAGAAGAAGCCCGACAACCCCACCGTCGTCACCGTCAATTATCTCGACAAGTCAGATCTCGGATGCGATATCTGCCACATAATTATGGAGGTACTCTCTTCTCCTCTCTTTCAACATGAATTGCGACACTCTTGCTCGATTTTGTTGTGGGTGTCGGGAGAACAATGACGTTTCGTTTAGGGATTGGGGTTGATTAGTAATGGCGGCCAATCCTCTTCCTCCCTGGTGTTGTTGTTCCGAATCATGAAGAAGCCTTTGTGATGTCAAAGTGAAGGCAAGATTTAGGATAATTTCTTTGACAATAAAAGATTTAGGTTAATTGCCTGAAATATTAAGAAGAGCGGGTCGGTTTGGTTGTTGAACTGGGTTTGGTTAGGTTATATAGTAGTCTGACGTGGCGGGTCGGGCCATATGATGTGGCAGGTTAAATTGGGTGACCATACATGTATGTTAGCCACGTCAACAGAAAATTGACGCCGTTAACGGAGACGGATGGAGACTAACGGAGAGTGACCAAACTTGGACGGTTTTACTAATTTTAGTGACCACTAGTGGATTTAAATATTCCGAGTGACCAAACATGAACGTTTTTTTTGTAATCTCAGTGACCAACCATGCAATTAATCGGGGTAGAATACCTCGGGTACCACTTAAATTTGAGAATTGGGGTAGATATACTACCACTTAAGTTTGAATAGGGCGTCGGGTACCATTAAAGTCGACAAAATGTGCATCCGTCTACTTTTTCATCAAACCCTAAATTTTAATTACTTTTTGATACCCAATTTTTTTTAAAACATTCAAAACTATATTGCAACAAGTTTTATCTAATATAAAAATTAAAAAACCTTCTAAACATATTATTACTAAAATGGCTAATCAAAATATTCATAAAATAGATAAATTAGTAAAAATATTAAATGAATATTAAAATATAATTAGTACACTAAAATATAATAATAATTATTTAAGATTGTATTAGAATATCTATTTAAATACCCTAATTCAATTAGAAGCATCATTAGAAATAGTTAAAATAAAACCTAATCGATCATCAATACATCAAAACCAAAGAAAGATAAATGGAACACAATCAAAAGGAATAAAATATATTCCATTAATTGAAAAAAATATTTAAAATGAAAAGAGAAAAAATAACTAAGTAATAAATGAACTATAAAAGCTACATTAGAAAATAAAATATGATTATAGGAAGAGAATTAGAATGACTAAATTTAACTAATATGAAACATCTACATATAATATTAGAGAATTAGAAAGAGATTTAAGATGGAAAATTAGACAACATCACTATGATGTAAGAGAACTAAATATAAAATTCTCAAATTATTTATATCGAGATAGAATTCATAAGATATATTTGCTTCAGAAAATTATTCAATTATAAGAAAATATAATGATAATTGAAAATACTTATAATGATAATTGATTCTAAATTTTCTATTGAAAAATTGACTTACTATCAAGTATTCAAAAGAGGATTCCAATTAAACAATAACAAATTATGTTTTTCATAAGTCCAAATGGTTTTCTCATAATAAGAAAATGACCAATTTTGAAATTTAGAAAACAGAATATTCCAAGAATATTCTGTCAACTTTAACGCAATGCACATAGCAGTAACTTAAGTGATACCGGGTACACATATAATAGACTTCAGTGGTACTCAACGTCCTATTCAAACTTAAGTGATATATCCTAATTCTCAAACTTAAGTGGTAGCCAACTATTTTACCCCAATTAATCGCAAAATATTGGCCATATAATAGTAGAATGGACGAAATCGGAAAAGTAGAGGCGAGCTAGATATCGTTGGTCGAGCAAAGCTTGGGAAAAAAGTAGAAGAGAAGGGCCGTGGGCAAAGGTGAAAGGACCAGGAGGAATCGGCCTCCAATCAAATTGGAATCACTAAGTTTCAATATGCAGCTGCCAGCCATCTCAGGTATTCGAAGAAGCCTTAATACTTCGAAACTTCAAATTTCAAGACCCCAGTGATTTTTCTTCGTCTAGAGTGAATGGGTAGATGGCGAGCTGCTGGTTCGCTACTCCTCAATCACACATCCAGAAGACGACCCCAAAATACCCTTTTTATTAACAGTCCATGTCTTTCGCTAGAACTCGATCGTTCTGCTTCTTATTCTTCTTGCAGCCGGCCATGTCGGAGCCCTCCGCAGGGGGTTTATTCATTATTGTTCAGGTCGTTTTCCGCGTACCCATCTCGGGTTCCAGCTTATTCCAGCGACAATGAATCTGGGTCTCATGAGAATTTCCCCATGGAGCTTAAGGAAGACGAGAGCGACGTTGGGAAGATTCCGGTCAAAGCCTACTTCCTCTGCACCAGGTCTTTTTGCCTCTTAACACCTGAATTTCGTCAATTATCTTTGTTGCTAAATCGTGTGTGTTAATGCGAAAGACTCTGATTTTTAGGTCGCGTTGCGTAGACCTTGAATTTTGGTTGGTGTTCAAGTTACATGTTTGAATTGCTGAGCCGTCGCCATTTTTGTTTGGAATTGTAGTGCTTTTAATAAAACTCAACTCAACTACATTAGATTTGCCCTTCATTGCGTAATGCATCCAAAATGGAAAATTTATCTAAACAATGTTGGTTGGTAAGGGCAGGTATTGAATATATTAGAGGTTAAAATGCTTAACTATCCCTTTCCCAACAACTCGAGTTATTGGAGCCAAGTGGTTAGTTCGCTAACATGGTATCAGAGCCTAGAACCGAAAGGTCATGGTTTCGAATCCTCATAATGACCCCCATTTCATGCCAATTCGTTTAGCACAAGGAATGGTATGTCCAACCTGTGCAAACTAAAGCCTCGTGGTTTGGCAGCACAAGGGTTCAACCTGTGCAAACCGTAAAAATCCACAATTCGGCATCGGCTTTCGTTTGAGTGGGCGTATTAGAGGTTAAAATGCTTAACTATCCCTTTCCCAACAACTCGAGTTATTGGGGCCAAGTGGTTAGTTCGCTAACAGAATATGAACACTGTTATTGTTCCAAGATGATGTTCCACTGGCCTTTATGATTTTAGTTAGATAAGTGTTTAGCAACATTAACTCTCTGTGGCGACCTTCAATGTCACTTGGTTTTTGAATGCTAATAATCCGCTCAAATAGCTTCATTTTTAAGTTAACTTAGATGAGTGCGATCATTAGGTTTGTTCTGCTTCAAGTTTTACTTGCGTTTCCTGTGTCCCTCTTGCTAAGTCATTGGGATTATTTTTTGGAATTGTTCGCTTCTGAAGAACTGGCTCAGAGATGCAGTTGCTTTCTACTGTCTTGCTACGTGTGTTCTTCTTCTCCCTATACTTTCTGGTTCCGCTTTGCTTACCTTTACTGCTTTCGTTCTTTTCCCTCGTGATGGTTCTCAGATTCATCATTTTGGCAGTATTGATTTGAAGAACATGCAAGGGGAGCATTTAATCAATGTTGTTCCTCCTACCTCTCGTTCAACAAATTATATTGTCCTCAGATACTATGATTACCAACCGGAAATTACTGTAAGTGAAGGAACGAACATGATCCTTCAAATACTCTGATTACTTTCTGCTTCCTGTGCCACTGCCATTACATTCATTCCATGCATTAAAATAATCTGTAATGTTATGGAAATCTGGCCATGATTCAGGCACTTGGAATCAAAGAGAATGTGAGCTGTCGCTACATGGTTGTTTTCCAATATGGTTCTGCTGTTCTTATCAACATTGAAGACCATGAAGTTGAAAGTTACTTAGATTTAGTGCGGAGACATGCTTCAGGGTTGCTTTCCGAGATGAGGAAAGATGGTAAAATCTCTCTACTAAGGTTTCATGTTGTGATCTGAATAAGAAGATTCGTAGTTTGTGCATATCATATGAAAGCAAGAAAATGCCCGGCTTATTATCTACCTTAGCTTTGATTTTCCCTTTGTCTCCCAGATTATGCCATAAAAGAGAAACCACGCCTAGAAGATGACATGCAAGGAGGTCCAGACTACATAGTCCTAAAAACTTTAGATACTGACAGCATCCGTATTATTGGTAGTGTACTTGGCCAAAGTATTGCTCTGGATTACTTTGTTTCACAGGTAAGATGACTTTGAAGCTTCATTTAGCTTGTTGGTGACTACAAAGAAGGTAATGTAAAGATTCTACTTGTATTCTGCAATCTTCATTTGTGTAAGGGCATACTTTGTCTCTCTCTCAGGTTGATGGAATGGTAGAAGAGTTCGCTGGCATAAACCGTGGAATGGAGAAAACAGGAACATTTACAATGGACAGGACAACACTCATCAAACTGGTGGGGAAAGCGAATTCTAATCTAGCTGACGTAATTCTTAAAGTTGGTCTTTTTGAAAGGTAATCAAACGAGAAGAACCATACCAGTTGTTTCTGATGCGCCTTATAATTTGAATGAAAACACATGCCTTATCTAGGTATTGATCCAATCACTTGTGCTATTCAAGGTCTGAAATTGCTTGGAAGGATGCAAAATATTCTCAAATATATGAGTACCTTAGGGATGAATACGAGGTGGCTCAACGATTCGGAAGCTTGGATTTCAAATTGAAATTTGTGGAGGTTTGCTTTCTCCCAACTTTCTGAAGCCAAACCTTGCTTATTAGGTTTCTTCTGGTACTCAAAAAGACCAACCCTTTCTGCTCTGGCCTTTCTCCTTTGTGCAGCACAACATTCATTTCCTTCAAGAGGTTATACAAAACAGGCGATCTGATCTCCTGGAATGGTGCATCATCTTCCTCTTAACTTTGGAGAATGCAATATCAATATATGAGATAGTGAGCGGTTCTTAGGTTTTATTTTCTATATACCTTTTCTTTTGATAGAGCAGAATATAGTGGGAATTTATTTCATATTAATGACCATTATTGTAGAGGAAAAATTATTGTTTCAGTAGCACAGGAAATCGAAAATTTCCTAAGCAACTCCCCCATTTTGTAATGCCATTGCCGCATACTATCTAATGAAAGAAGAAATTCTCAGAGTTCGCAATTTCTGTTCATTTGAGGCAAAATGTTTTTATACGGTCCAAGCTTGCACAATTTGGACAAGAATGATGACTGTGACCCTATTACCCTACAATTTAAATGAGGCTCTGGAAGAAAGGTAAATATTATATGTTCTGTGTGTTCACTCTATTGTTCCCATGACGTTGGGTTAGGTTTTACGGCAAAATTGATATTATTATTGAGAACCTATCATTTTTTTCATACACATGAGTTAATTCTGTGATGTTGACCAAAACTGTAAGTCAAAATGCGTGAATGTTATATCATTAAGCTAGTTGAGTTGAAATTTTTTTCTCCTACTAGTTGAGTTGAGATTGTTACATATCTCAGTTTTTAGCTGATGTCACACAATCATACATACAAAACACTATGAGGTTTATGGATGACAATCAAACCCATGGCCACGAGTACCCGATCGCCCCCAACCAAGTCAACGCGAGCATTGACCGGGTATGGGTAAACCCGCAAAAAGTTTGATGGGTATGGGGAGGGTATGGTTTTAGCCTCCCCCGCCCCATACCCGCCCCACCAAGAGAATTTCTTCACATATAAAAAAAATATATTTGGATCAAATTGTAATCTATCAATGATGACGAGGATAACTCGAGAAAATAAATGGTAGAAATGCAATTGAGTGACCACCCTAATCAAAACATCATTCATTTCCCTCAATTCTCCTTTCACTTTCACCCTTGTCAACAAGATTATGTTAATTAAATCAAACAAAGAAGAAGGTTATATAATGAAGTCGGAAATCAAGTCAAGAAAGACAATCCAGTGATCTGGTAAGGCATATTGTGAAAGCTTATGACACTTGAAATACAATATTCTAGACCCCGTATTATGATCGAAAGTGCATTAATTTCCCATTTTAAGCGTCATAATACTTTGGATTTGTGATGTGAATGCTTAAAGTGAGGCCAATGGACATCTTAGGAGCCACAAGGGACATCAAGGCCAAGCTGTTGGAGCAAGAATCAAAGAAGAAAACTTGGCCCAGAAGCGCACTAATCGGCGGCCCAAAGTGAGAATTGACGTCGTGGCCACTGATTTCGGCAAGTGCTTACTTCGTCAAGAAGGCATCCAAAATTTATATTGAAGTAGTAGCTGCATAGAATGACTCTTGTGATTGGCTGCATAACGCGTCAAGGCCGATTTTCTCTCCCAAAAATTCCTAATCCAAAACCTATATAAAGCTCTCTAGGATTTAGAACTCGGTAGCCAGTGATAGAAAGCAGTTAGAGGGTCGTTACCCTGCCAACAGAGTAACTCTCCCGAATTAAAGTGACACTAGTTACTAGGAGGAGTCGGTGGAAGAATCGGCACCCTAAGCCCTGATTTCTCTGTTGTGGCTGCCGATTCTAGTGGTCTTTTGGGAGATTTGTTTCAATTGATGACTCTCCAAAAACTCGACTGTCCCCATGGCCGACTAGTTCCCTTAGTTGCATAGGTGTGCGAACCCTAGAAGTTCTGGATATGTAAAACTTAATGTTTTGGATTCACTATTTCTAGTCAATAAGAGACAGAAACATTAGAGTCAGAAAAGGGCGGCGCGGTCAGACCCAAGAACAATGGGGGAGGTGATCAGGACCTTGGTTGATTAATTTCAGCCAAGAATAGCCGACATCCAGCCTAGTATCACCCAACCTGCGATTACTTACGACCAACTCATTGTGCATAATGCCATAGTTCAACTCATGCAAGATCATTGCACCTTTAAGGGCCTAGAAGGGGAAGACCCCATCACACACCTTCTAGGTTTACATAGCTAGTTGAATCACTCACTCCTGCCGGAATAGGTATCAATGTGATGGGATGAGATTGTTCTTCTTCTCCCTCGATGGGAGAGCAAAAGAATGGTTGAGAGCTTTTCTAAGAGACACATTTGCTTCTTGGGCAAAGCTTTCTCAAGATTTCATTGAGGAATACTTTCCCGAGTGGAATTCCAATAAGATCCCACAAAATATCACCAACTTCCATCATGAGGAAGAGGAGGATCTCTACGAGTCATGGGTTCGCTATTCTGCACTGCTCACAATTTTGTCCTCACCACGACTATCTTTCTTAATAGCAAGCCCACTGTTCTAGAGGGGACTAAACTAGAGAACTTGAACACAATTTTGTCCTCACCACGACTATCTTTCTTAATAGCAAGCCCACTGTTCTAGAGGGGACTAAACTAGAGAACTTGAATTGGAAACAAAGGAGGGAGTCTCGACATGCATCTGTAAGGCAACATTAGAAATGCATACGCAAGATGAAGTGAGTCTAAAAAAGGTGGAAGAAATGGTTTCTCCCACGTCTGAAAGAGGCAACACCATCTGCAGTGGTTGCCTCAGTGGTGAGCATCACTCCCCAAACAACAGAGAACCTCCGTGCCCAGTTGAACTGTGTATTTCAAGAGCTTTGGGCAGTGAGAGCCAAAGGGGCCAAGCGGGTGGAAGATTGATATGCTCTGAACAACCAATCCAAGTGTGCTAAAAAAGATCAGGTTGAGCAGATCCGGCATTAAACCCTCGAACTTCAACTCATGTTCGAGTCACTAATGTATTACTCTATGGTTTAGAGGGCGACACGAAAGAGATAATAATATCTATGAGCGTTATCCTCCAAGCAGTGACCAAGAAGGGAGATGAACCTAAGCCGACTCAATGGGAGCCAACGTGGTCACCTGAAGAGGCCCCTCTAACCCCCTGTTAAGGAAGGAGGGAAATGGAAGGAAAGGGGAGGGAGGTGAGGGAAACACACATTCCAATGAACTTTCCATTGTTTTTTAGCTAGCTACAGTTGGGAAGGAAAGAAAGCGGGAAGAAAAATTCATTGTTTCCTCCGCCCCTCCAATTTGGAAGGAAAAGATAATTGGGGAGTGCCTAATCTAGATAATAAATAAAAGCCGAATGATGAAAACTGTTGCTCTATTTCAAATTTCCTGCAACGAGAGTGATTATAGGAAGGACATTTTGGTCTTCACAATTGCTTATTTTCTTATTTAATTATTCATAAAAAAGGCATGCACTAGGATTTGAACCTTGGTCTCTTTAAAGGAAACAAAGATCATAACCAATCACACTAAGTATATTTGTTGTATCTATTTAAATTCAAACATACACGAACCTAAATTATGAAAATCATATGACTTTTTTAACGATTAGTTGGCCACTGAATCTCCCGTAAGTACTTATTTGGTGTTTTAATACTTTGATTATTTTAGTTGTAGTTTAATACTTAATTTAAATTTCTATCTATTTTATAAATATACAATAACCCTAAAATTGCAGCCCAAATATCACTGGTTCGAATATTGCATATCGAATTGCAATATTAAACATGTAGAAGCAATATCGACTTCTTAAATTAATATTATTTTTCAGAATTACTATGGAGAAATTATATCTTTGTGCAAACTATATGAGACTGGTTCTTTTAATGTTTTAGTCGGGATAACCGCTACATTTTAAACTTCTTCATAATCTGGCATGATTGGATCCAATGATCATTATACAAGATTGTGTTTAATAGGGTGGCTCATTTCACCACTTTTTGGCGTGTTAATGAATTTGTAGGACAATGACAGGTCTACATCTACACTCATCACAATCTACACATCATATAAATGTGAAATGTGAAATGAGAAAAGAGGGATTCCATTTCAAATTTGATGCGTACAGAGCAATTTTTTAGGGGTAAATTTAGAAGATGCCAGTGCGGTCAGTCTGTTGAGCACGAAAGTAAAAATATGTTTTCATTTAAACGGGCCCAAACTGTTATTTGGCCCACTAATCGTGCACCCATCGCCAATGTAGTCAAATTCGGGATTTTGATCGTAAAATCGTAGGATTTTAGGATTTTACTTAGAGATTCCGATCTTGATTTTACTATAAAATCGGTGGACCTTAAAATCGTTTAAAATCGGGACTAAAATCGTTAAATAGTACCGAAATCGGGACTAATATTGGAAGTATGTAAGAACTAACATCATTATTAACCAATTAATTTATTAATGAATATATTTGTACCAAGCCACTAACATTACTTATTTTATTGGAGTTCAATTATTTTTAGTTTTAAATCATACTTAGTAGACGATGTCGAAATATTACTTTGAGTTAAACAACCTAGACATAACATGAAAATAAGAGCCAAACCCATGAACTATATCCCTTCATCATAAATTATTTTGAGTTACACATTAAATAACAATTAAAATAGTGATTTTGGAACATTAATCTTGAGAATTATCTTATGGAAAAAAAATCTTCTGAATTATCATTTTAAATGCTATGTGTCTGTGTGATATTAATAATTTACCTTATTAATATTCTTATATGCTATGTTCTATATGGTACTTAAAATCCTACGATTTTACGATTCGATTATACGATTTTGATTTTACCCCAGTTTTCGATTTTAGGTAAAATCTCGATTTTAACTGCTTTGCCCATCGCAGCCTCTCCAAATCTTCCTATTCTACTCGCCGGGTCATCTTCTCCACTACAAAATATCTCCTCATGTACTCAAAGTTCTCACTGAAACCTAATATCTACAACTTAGGCGCAGAGGGAGCAACCGATGGATTGTAGCGACCCCCACTATTTTGATAGCTAATCAAGAAGAGCACGTTTGTTTAGTTGTATGGTGATTCACTTAATTAACAATTTTTATTCTGTTGACAGCCTCCTCTCCGCAATTGTATTGTGTTCACGAAGATCTGAAGGCGCAAGTGCAACAGGTCCAGGGGTAAACAATATGTATAAAGCGTTGGCCAAATTGAATTGAGTCATTCTACTTGGAATATGAAGATTTTTGCTTAATTGCTTTGGTTCGTGATGCAACTATGTTATGTTTGAAGGTAGACCAACGCAAACAACAGCACAGCTCCAGAGCTATTCTGCACATTAGGTAGTTGGGGCATTAATTGATAATTATTTGGGATTATTCCTACAAGTACATAATTTGGAACGTGCCTTTATATTGCATTGATTAATAGTTGTTTGAGATTTTTCAAATGAGTGATTTGACATGTTAAACTCTCTTATTTTTGAAAATGGAGTCTTCGAAGTGGAATATGAAGATTTTGGATTAAGCTTGGTTTC